TCTCTCTCTCTCTCTCTCTCTCTCTCTCTCTCTCTCTCTCTCTCTCTTCGCGGCTGGCCTCATGGTACTGCGCCCTCCATAGGATGAGCAAAATCGAATGAATCTGGCGCTATAGCGTGGGAATATACACTGCCATGTTTTGTTTCGTTTTTTTTTTTCGTTTTTCTTTTCGGTTTTTTTTTCCCTGTTTTTTTCTTTCTTTCACTCCGACGTTCGGGATGCCTGCGCCCGGTAGTCCGAGCCTCGCCCCGGATCGGCGTACCGGTCGGCCGAGGATCGGACTCGATAGCTGGGCCAGGTACTGCTGGTTTAAGGTCTCCCATGTCATCTTTGCAGCCAATGGCAATACTTATCATGTCTGTGTAAACTTGAGTGAGAAACAACCCCCCCCCCAAAAAAAAAAATCCTGCCTGCAGCAGTGTCATGGCGTTCCAATACCAAAAACCAACCACAACTCCAACTCTCTCATTTTCTAGATTCGGCGCAATTCCTTTAACACCATTGGACAATTCGACCAATGGCATTTTTCCAATGGCGCTTGAATCGTGTTCAGTTATTTCAATCCATAAACACTACTCGCAATTCCATTTCCATCTCCTCGCCACACTACTCGCGAAGAAGGAGGAACTATGCAACCGTCACTACGAAGAGTAACATTCGATGTATTCAGCCACTTTCCATGGGCAGATGCAGTCAATTTTTTTTTTTTTGTTTCATGAGATACTGTGGCAAGGCCCAATGTCCAAAAGAGGGAAGACTTTCGATCATGTGACACCTTTCATTTTTTTTTTGGGGGGACCATCTCTCAATTTATGCGTGTCATCCTTGCGCAGGGGCCATGCTAATCCTCTCTCTCTCTCTCTCTCTCTCTCTCTCTCTCTCTCTCTCTCTCTCTCTCTCTGTGAATCGTTCCAATTTCAACGGATGTCCCGAAGGACACCTTTCACTTTTTCTTCTCATCTTCTCCAATCTAATTGAAAATAAGTTTTTTCTCCCAAGAGACTGCAGAAGACGAAAAATAATAATAATAATAATAACAAATAAATAAAAAATGAACCAACCATCAGCAGGCATGCTCGCCCTTGTCGTGGAGAAGATCCCCAGACAGCTTTACAACCCTTTCATGGGGTTTCGGTTAAAACAACCAGGCTGCTTGTCAGAGCCCCCCTCCCCCCCCCCTCCCCCCTCCCCCGTGCGCCCCTTTGCTGGTATGTCTGCACTCAGAAAGGACGAATCTGGTCGTGGGAGCAGCAGTGCTGATAGACGGAACACCAAACGGACACTTAATTCACGATTGCAAGTCCTTCAAGAGGGACATCCGTGAAAAATGGAGTGATACAGAGAAGGTCAATTAGCGTGCATGGTTGCTGCACAGGGATTATATGAGAGAAGGAGCACACATACACACACCACAAAAAATAATAATAATAATCATAACTCACCACTGCAAGGTCCTTTCCATGAGTCTTCCTGTATGCCTTTGTCCACCGGACCTTCCTCGGGTTCCTCTTCAACTTGAAATTCTTGTGACATTTTGATCGGCAGAATCGGAATATCTGAAAAGAAAAGAAAAAAAAGGAAAAAAGGAAAAAGAAAAGAACAGGTAATATAAGTTACATACCGACAACAGGTAATATAAGTAATATACCAACAACAGCTGGGCTACCAGACCCACACGCACCTGGCCGCCCGGTGCCACTAGGACCCTCTTGCCCAGGTCACCCGGGCAAGTGAAAAAAACAGCCAAAAAGGAGAGCGGAGAGGGAGAAGGGAGAGAGGAGAGAGGAGAGAGGAGACGGGAGAGGGGAGAGGAGGGCGAGAAAGTGACGGGAGGGCATGATACATGAATCACAGGTGGCGCTGGTGGTGATCAACAAAACTGCAGGTGTGATTCAGACTATAAATAGTCAAAACAAAAAAGCTGTGATCTGGCCTACCCGCCACGTCATTGCCCGCACAGCCCGGCCGTGCGAGGCTCAGGGAGGGTCTCAGCCTCTGAAAAAAAAAAAAAAAAACGATAATGTAGAAAACGAACTGAACAACTTTTGCCTCAGGGTCACATCAAAATTCTTCACCACACAGATAATATTTTCTCTATACCTTAGTAAAACTACAAAGTGAAACGGTATTCACCAATTCGTGGTAGCTGAGATAGATCCCAGGGCCCGATCCCTAGTTCCCCAACTTACCTGTGTACAATACCTGCGTCAACTCGAAGAGTTGAACCTGCGACCTGTAGAACCGCCAGTGGTAGGTAGGTCTGTCGTAGGTCT